CTGCTCAAGGCTGCTGAAGCGGGGAGTTCAAGGGCCTGGCCAGGGAAGCAGGGCGGGTGTGGGCATGAGGGCGGCTTGTGTTGTGTCTTTAAACCGTCCCGGGGTGGGGCTGGGGGGAGTCCGGCCTGATGAATGGGCCTTTAATGAACCCAGTTCCCTTTGGAATAATTGTCTCATTGTGTCCCCAGCCCCTCCCCTGCTCCTTCCCGTGTGGACCGCCGTCCTTCGGACTCCGAACTTGGGTGTTTGGCTTCTACCCCAGCCGGAGACGGATTGGAAACATCCACACCCACCGGTGACAGAAGCAGGTACCGTGCCAAGCTCTTCCCTGGGGGCAGACCCCGGCTCGAGGCCCCAAGGCCTCGGGTGAGTTCTACTCTGGACCTTCTCAACAAGGGTTGGTCACAGCTGGTCCCTGGAAAGAGGGAGCCAAGAGAGGCAGGGTGGCCCGAGCAGAGCGGGTGTGTGTGACACAGAGCAGGTCGTGAAGACCCGGGGCAGGGGGTGATCTGAAATGGACCGTGCAGGCAACAGCGGAGACCGTGTGAGTAAGTGTTTGGAGCGCCCACTTGTAGACACAGAGGCCCTGGTGGTGCAGGGGTTAAATATCCACTGTTAACCTGAAGGTCGTGGTTCGGACCTGCCAGCCCGCTCTGAGGCAGAACGATGTGGCAGGCAGTCCACTCTGATAAAGTTTTGGGAACCGTAGCTTTGGGCGCCTTATGGAAAAATTCTCCTCTGCCCTGCTGGTTCACGGTGAGGGTGAGGCCCTGTATCATTTTACTGCTACAGTGTTTTCCGCAGCACGCAGCTGCCCCAGTGTGCTATTCTTGCCACCTAACCTTTAGGCCCCCCTCCTCCCAAACAGGAGCGGCTATGGTGGGCCAAGAATGCAGGCCCGTGTGCCCTGCTCCCCACCCCCCACCCCAGCCCCCTCGGTTAACTGGGAGGCACTCAGAAAACCAAATTCACTGCCATCAAGTCAATTTCCACTCATTGTGACCCTCTGGAACAGGGTAGAACCGCCCTTGTGGATTTCTGAAACTAACTATGGGAGCAGAAAGCCTCGTCTTTCTCCCCAGGGGCAGCTTGTGGTTTTGAACCACAGACCTTGTGGTTAGCAGCCCAGTGTATAACCACTAGGCCACCAGGGCTCCTTGCTGGGGGGTAAACATGGATGGAAAGTTCAGCCCTGTGCCCACTGCCATCGAATCGATCCCCACTCACTGTGACCCGCTGGACCGAGTAGAACGGCTCTTTGGGATTGTAAATCTTTACAGGAGCAGACAACCTCATCTTTTTCCCAAGGAACAATTGGTGGGTTTGAACCGCTGACCTTGCGATTGGCAACCCAACACCTAATCCACAGCACCTCCAGGGCTCTCTGAAGCCCTGTAGGCAGTGAGAAACCAGGGTCATACAGAGCAGTATGCACCCCACTGCCAAACTAGAGTGTCCCAGGCCATGGAGGGACCAGGAAGAAGGCAGCTGAGAGTGGATGTTTTGGGGAAACCAGAGTGAGGTGGTCATGGGGCTGGGCCCCTGTTGGTCTCCTCTGGTCAGGGCTCCATGGACATGACACTCTTCCTGATCCATTATCAGAGAGAGCCCTGGTGGCTAGCTGATCAAAGCACTTGGCACCTAACTGAAAGGTCAGTAGTTTGAACCCACCAGCCACCCCTTGGGCAAAAGATGAGGCTGTCTGCTTCAGTAAAGATGTGCCGTCCACGGGGCCAGTTCTGCTCTGTCTTATGGGGTTGCTATGAGTCGGAACCGACTGGCCGGCAGTGGGTTTGGCTTGGACTTGGGTCAGATACTTTGTGGAGAGTCTCCCCCCTGGGACTGGTCTGAGGGTTTCCTCCTGTTTCACAGGGATGTTGAGGTTTGGGGGCAGCAGGGATGGCATGTAGGTGCCATTCTCGTCACCTTGTACCCAGGACACAGTGTCCACGGGCTGAGCACTTAGTGAGAGCTGCTTTCAGGCAGGTTTCTCCACTCCAAAGCACCCCCCCCACCAGGTTCCTTGGGGGAAGTCATTGCACACGGCCTGCTTACGAAGTGGGGGTTGTGGTCCCCGTTCTGTAGACTCTGGCGTTGACGTCATTCATGTGGCATTCTTCTACTCAGGTGCTGCTGCGCCTCTTCCCCCGTTATCAACGTGGACAGTCGCCGGTGGGTGCCTGTGTGTAATTGGGGCCAGTGTGCATTTGGTGGGCTCTCACTCTCCCAGCCTTGGCTATGGTGCAGTCCACTGGCGCGTGGCACTTTAGTGGAGGGGTGTCCAGGGCCCCGCTGAAGGAGCCCTGGTAGCGTTGAGGTTACACCTTGGACTGTGATTCACAGGTCAGCAGTTTGAAGCCACCAGCTGACCCATCCAGGGAGGAAGATGGGCTTCCTACCCCCATAAAGAGGTCCAGTCTCGGAAGCCCACGGGGGCAGTTCTGCCCTGTCCTACAGGGTTGATGCTACGAGTTGATGCAGGGAGTTTGGTTGGTTTTTTGAGGGGTCACTGAGGCAGGACAGGGCAGTGCTCAGCTTCAAAGGATCCCCCTCCCCCATCCCCTGTGTCCACCAGCCCCAGGCTCAGCGGGCCGGCCCGGGTGGCAGCGGCTCCACGGTCATAAGTGCCCCTCCTCAGCGGGACCCTCAGTGTCCAGCTCCACTCCCTCCCCACGGCCACCTTTTCTCCTATCAGGCCCCGGCCGGGGTCCTGCCACCCAAACAAACCTCATCTTTCCTTCTTCGGTGGGAAAAATCCCTGGTGGGTTTCAAAGCAAAGTTATTTTTAAAAATTGAAAACAAAAAACCAGAGATAAAAATTGTATCTTACTGATTCCATCGTCCTTCTCCACCGGGCCTGAGGTCCACCCTCCGTTGGTTCCCACCCCAGCCACACGGCCCTCCGGACATTGACACCCCTTCTCTGTGTGTTGTTTCAGCTGTGTCCTGCCCTCCTTGGGCCTCAAGGAGGCCTGGCCTCCTGACAAAGGCTGTACTGCTCCAACCGGAGCTCTGTGCGTGCCGGTGCCGACCCGAGGCCTATTGCGGCCTTCTCCTGGGCCGGCCAGAACATCCCCGGCAGCAGGAGCTCTCTGCGCCCCCGCCCCCTGCCTGCTGGTCATCCTCAGGCCACAGGCCTGGGGGAGAACAGAGGGGACCTAGCGGGCAAGGTGAGAGGCCATGTAGAGGGAAGCCTTTTCTCTGCTGCCCAGCCCTGCCCAGCCAGAAGAGGGGAGCTGGTCCAGCGACAGACCGTCCACGAACTGGCCATGCCTTGGATGGCCATTCCTCCTCCGTCACCTTGGTCCTTTGGGGACCTGGCCAGCAGCTATCCCCACCCAGCACCGTGATGGCAGGTCATTAGGCAGCAAGGGATTGTGCTGTGGCGTTAGCCCAACAGTGACCTAAGAGTTTGGAAGGTCAAACTCACCCCTGGGTGCCTCCGAAGAAAGGCCTGGTGATCAGCTGCCAGAGAATCAGCTGTGATCACCCCGTAGAGCACAGGTCCTCTCTCATTCATGGGGTCACTGCTGTGGGCGGGGCCCAGGAAGGGACTGATAACAGACATGGGGCTCTGATAGTAAGAACCTCCAGGGTTGGCAGTGGAAGTGTCCCTCCATGGCGGCCATGGCTGACCGCGGTGATCGTTGGACCCTCTGGGGCTTGTGGCACAGAGGAGCTGAGGTGGGGGCCTGGACTGAGTGGGCATGACCTGAGCAAGCGCTGTCCCTGTTGTGAGCCTTCCACTCCCCGTGGGGGACAGCTGTCCTTTGTGAAGTAGTTGCTTGGAATCTGGGCAGAGGCTGCCCAAGAGCCTCCTGGGAGGGAGGTGGGGAGGGCGGGGTAGCCCTGCGGCTTTCAGCTCCGCTGGAGGAGCTGGCAGGTGGGGGGCAGGCGAGGGCAGGGGTCAGGGGATGGCTGGAGGGGGGCGGGCGGTCTTAGCTTTCAGATGCCCTCTGGGCAGCCCTAGATGGGAAAGGACCAGGATACGGGGCTGTGGGTGAGAGGGACGTTCAAGGAGGTGCTGTGTCCGCTGCTGAGGTGCCTAGTCCAGTGGGTGGGGTCCCTTCTTCCCCAGAAGCCCCATCCACTCCCTCTGGCAGGTGGGCCCAGGACCCGGGGCTGAGTTACTGTCCTGCTGTAACCCGAGGAGATCGGGGAGAGCTTCCCAGCCTGTGCACCAGCTGGAGGCCGGGAGGGAGGGTGCCAGGATCAGCCTTGCTCACAGACTGTCCCCAAGGAGGGTGACAGATGAAGAGAGATGAGCCTGAGAGGAGGCAGGGCCTGGGAGGGGGAGAGGCATTGTGGAGCAGCTCCCCGCCCACTTGGGTGAGCCAGTGACTGCCAGGAGCAGGAAGTGACAGGTGATCGGGGTCTCACCCTTAGGGTTTGCAGAGGCCTTTGGGAAGTTCCTGCTTTGTTTGTGTTTTTTGGCCTGGCCACTGATCCATCCACCTGCATTGCAAACCCGTCGTAGGTAGTCCTTACGCCGCCGTGCCACGCGATTACTCCTGGCTTTCAGCCCTGTTGTCAACCTGAGACACTGAGGCAGGACGCTCTCTGACACAAAAGTGCTCAATGAGACAGTCTGGCATTTAGGGAGAGATGGGGCAGGGGCCCAGGGTGGGTGGGGCAACCAGCTTCAAAGAGTCATCTGCCCAGGATGGTGAATTTTGGGGTTATTTATAAAATCATTTTATTGGGGGCTCTTACAGTGCATACATCAATTGTATCAAGCACATCTGTACATATGTTGCCATCATCATTTTCTAAACATTTACTTTCCATTTGAGCCCTTGGGATCCGTTTCTCCTTTTCCCTCCCAACCACCCTTCCCAGCCCCATGACCCCTCATGATCAATTATAGATTAGTATTGTTTTCATATCTTACACCGACTGCTGTCTCCCTTCATCCACGTTTCTATTGTTCATCCCCCTGGGGGTGGGGCAGGGTTAGGGGTCGATCATTGTGAGCAGTTCCCCCTTCGTTCTTTCCTCCCCCCACCTATCCCTCCCCTCCTGGGATCGCTACTCTCATTTCTGTTCCCGAGGGTTTATCTGACCTGGATCCTGTGTGTCGTGAGCTCTTACCTGTACCTGTGCACATGCTCTGGTCTAGCCAGAACTGAAAGGCAGGACTGGGGTCATGATGGTGGGGGGTGAGGACGCCTCAACGAACCAGAGGAATATTGTGTGTTTCACGGGTGCTGTACTGAACCCTGGTTGACTCGCCCCTTCTGTGAGGGCATGTTCTGTTGCCTACAGATGAGTTTTGGGGGGTCTCTGCTCCGACACCCCTCATTCTCAA